TTCCCTCCAGAATTGTCAAGAGCGCCTGTGCTCCACATCTCATGCCTTCAAACGCCACCACGCATTCATTACATGTTGGCATTTCTCTTCTGTTGCGCAAGGAATTTTTAAATACAGAAAAGATTGACGCAGCTTCTCCTATCACAGCATATTCCATTTTTACTTTTGATATTTGGCGCCAGTTAATCAAGAAGTGACAATTTTGTTCTCTTTGACTCATTGGATGAAAACACTGCTTTATTTGCACATCTTTTATGCGATATTCCTGTTTTGTGCATAAATTTAATTTACATCTTTTGATGGAAAAATAGCTATTGAGTACCAGCTACCATATTCGTCTAAATATGTTGAAGGGTGAATGAATCATTTTTGCGTGAACCATCCATGTAAAGCTTTGCATGTAAGGCCCCGTTTACACTAGTGCGTTTTAGTTTTAAAACGGCGTTGTAGAATGAAAACGATCCGCGTCCACACTCGCGTTTTACCCAGCGTTTCTGAACTGCTCTCCGTCCACACCAAAACGCTGAAAACGCACATCACGTGACCACACAGACACTCTCGGGCAAGCGCTCCAGCATTTCTACCCAGATGAGAGCTCTGCTTGTCGGACTGCTCATCAAGCATCTCCCGCTGGATCTAATCTCACTATATTTGCTAAACGTGAAATTTCATTCATGTTGTTGTCTTTATCTAACGACATAGGCCAATTCCCTGACTTTGGTCATTGGAATCTATTAAGTTACTTGTTCACGGGTAACATGTTTTGGTTAAGCGCAAAGATAAGTTAATGATTAATCCAGGTACATTGACTGATCGCTCGTCTTTATTTCCTACAATGTATAAACTTATTGTATGTTATACTTTTATAATTATCGATTATTAAAACTGATATTCAGCAAAAGAGAGGGTGCGTTTCGTATTGTCACTGAAATTGAAACGAGACCGTTGTTATCGGCTCTGTTTTGTTATAAATATCCACACAGTGAAGATGACGCTCATATATGCAGCACGACGCCTCAACATTTCTGCTGTCTGTTAAGTTGCTAATATTAAAATGAAAATAGGCAGTTCCTTAAATCATGTTTACATTTTATTGTTGAGAAAGTGAAACAACGTAGCCAAGGTGATGTGAATGAAGTTATAAAGTACACTGTTCCCTTTGAAGATTTACCCGTGTCCTCGGTATGTTTTCCATATCAAACTGAGAAGGGGGAGACTGCAGCCTTGATCAAACTTGCGAAGTCTTAACTTACAAGAAGAGGATGCGAGACTGAACTGTATGTGGGCTACTTAATATTGAGGAAAAGCCCCAATCAGATAGGCGAACGTTTGCAGCCCCGCCTCCGTTTTCAGATGTCTCCGTCTTTCCCCATCCACACTGAGACGGAGCAGCAGCGTTTTAGAATGAAAACGGCCTCTCCAGCGTTTTCAAAAAGCTCCGTTTTCGGCGCTCGAGAACTCCGGCGTAGTGTGGACGGATGGCGTAACCGTAGCAAAACTTATGCGTTTTCAAACTAAAACGCACTAGTGTAAACGGGGCCTAAGTTTCAAGGGATTAATCTAGAGTGAACAATACTCAAATCTTTGATTTTAGTAGGTCTATACATGTCAGAGGTTAAGTCCAAATATAAGACATTTTACACATTCCTGTCAAAGTCTTGCCTGACAGCATCAAGTCTCAAGTCCAATTAAAGTCCATTCAAGTTCATGTCATGAGTTCCAAATGTTAATACAACAAGAAATTCTCAAAGCTTTCACATGTCTAGAAAAATTGGTGTTTGCCAGCAAATGACTAAAATAGACTACTTAGGTTGTTGATGACAATAAAACCTTGCTGTGTTTATAATTGTTCTAGCAAACTTCAAATGTTTTCGTACACTTTTTCCATTGCTCTCATGGTTATGTTTTATAAACAAATTTCAAGAGAAGCATCATCCGTGACCATTTGACGAAGCTAATCAGACAATCGTTCTATTATTCAATCAGCATAGAACCAAATGCCTATAAATATTTAAGCACGTCCCACCTCGGTTTTCTCTCAACTTCAGCATCCCTCCACCACCCCAACTCCACACTTTTAAAACCTACACCTACATAAATCGGGGAGATTGGGGAGAGGGGTAAGTGTTTTAGAGCCAGGCTAGACACTGTGCTCGGACCCCTTTCACTCTCTCAATCCTGATAAGGGGAATAGCACCAGTGTTTTTCTGAGCTCAAAGCCCTCTCCCAGGAGTGCACACGAAATATGCATATTCTATTCAGTCAAATATATGTTTAGAGTGTGAACTCATGAAACATTGCTAATCATAAGTAACTCTACAACTAAGTCAACTAACACTGAGCATTACACTTTAATAAACACATTATTTTGATTGTCCTCCAACAGCCATTCCACTGGGTAGAAATACAGTGCAATTACATGTCAACTTATATTACTAACACTTAGTCTACTAATGAGAGTTAGTTGACATTAACTGCAAAGCTGGAAATGCCTAAATGGGATCCAGAAATTAAAGTGTATCCAAATGTTTTGAAGACAGAAAGAGTTATCGGAAGCTTAATTGTGAAGTCATGCCACCATGGTTTTGTTTGGTTATAGCCAGCATTTGTATAGGCTTCATAATAAGTTGGTCATTTGTGAAGACTATCATTATGAACAACACATGCAAGGCTTATAAACCTTCACTCTTAAAAGAGTTTATTTTCTGTAATAATTTGTAAAACAGAAAAGTTCTATTGTTAACTTATTAAACTTAATATGAAAACCAGATCTGGGGTTGTCTACAAAAATGTTATCACTGCACGTGTCAACTATTCAGAACACTCCTAAAAAAGAAACGAACAGCACTTTGTGAATGATGTAGCAGCACATGCTAACGTTTATATTGTATTGTGATCAAACGGCAGCTCAAGTGCTTTCACATTGTGTAATCTCTTTTAGAAGTTCACATGGTTGTTCCCAGAAAATACACAGGATGTTTGCTTTATGACAGCTTCATGTTTTCAAGCCCTCAGTTTTCCTGTAGGTTCTCTGGGGCAACTTACTAGGCAGTGCTCTTGCATCATTCACGCAAATCTTTGTGAAAATGATGAATAACCAAACACTGCCAATTTCCTAGTTTCTCTTCACGGTCAAACAAACAAAGAAATGTTCTCATAACCAATGCTAATCAGTTACAGATAGTCTGTAATGCTGAAATACCATGCAGAGAATTAGAGGCATGATGTCATTTCTCTGAGGACAGACAGAGAGGAAGATGTGCAAGCAAGATGCAACTCAGACAGGAAGAGAGTCTAGATATGTGAGAAATCAGATGCTAAATGTAAATCTCCCTAAAAGATTAAATGAAAAGGACAGCAGACAGCTATATATACTTACTGATTTATATATATATATATTTTGTCACAGATCAAAAATATTCTTATTAACATGAGAGCAAACACTTTTTTTTTTTTTTTTTTTTTTTTTTTTTACAGCCAGTTACGGCAGCAACTCAATGCATTTAGGCATGTAGACATGGTCAATATGATCAGCTGCAGTTCAAACCTTGCATCAGAATGGGGAAGAAATGTGATTTAAGTGACTTTTAACATGGCATGGTTGTTGCCATACGGCTGGTCTGAGTATTTCAGAAACTACTGATCTCCTGGGATTTTCATGCACGACTATCTCTAGGGTTTACAGAAACTGGTCTGAAAAACAGAAAATATCCAGTGAGCAGCAGTTCTGTGGGCGCAAATGTCTTGTTGATGCCACAGGTCAGAGGAGAATGGCCAGACTGGTTCATGCTGACAGAAAGGTGTCACTCCTGTCAGCTAAGAACACGAAACTGAGGCTATAATTTGCACAGCCTCACCAAAACTGGACAACTGAAGATTGGGGAAAACGTTGCCTGGTCTAATGAGTCTCGATTTCAATTGGTAAATTAGTTAAAGGCTTCTGCAAAATTATTATATTAGAATTTTAAATGTTTTATTAGAATGATTGTTGATTGGATCACGTGATACTAAAGACTAGAATAACATTTGCTTAATAATTAGCTTTTATTCCTGGGAATCAACTTTTTTATATATATATATGAAATTCCAAAAATACAAATTTAAAATACAAAACAGTTGCTTTAATTTTAAAATAATATTTTATTTTTTACTGTATTCTTGAATAGATGGAGTCTGTGTAAGCAATAGGGACTTCATAAAATGTATTTAAAAAATCCAGCTCAAATTGTAAACTACAGTGTGCCTAATGCTCTTAATTAATCAAATATGATTGAAACTGTTAACCTAGAGTAATAACTCCCATTTTTAATTAACAAATGTGAAACACTATTGAGCCTCAGGTTAAAAGCTGCCTTAACTACTTTAACACAAGTAAAGTTGTTCAGAAGTAAATGTTGTCAGTGTTTACATTTTGTGTAAATAGTTTTTTAGATTTAATCAGCCAACTGAGGCACATATCGAAAAAGAAAACAGCAAAAATAAAAGCTAACAATCTCTCTACAGTGCCTGAGCAGAACACAAACAGACAATAGTAATTAACAGCATTCAAGGTGAATGGGGAGTTATACGACTAATATGACAGCTGCCGGAAAGCTTTAAAGTTAAAATGATGGTACACTACGAAGTGCAAGTCAACCAGTAAGAGCCTTTGGGTTCTCATCCTACTATTGGCTTAAAGTCAAATTTGAATGAGCTAGTTTTGACTAAAACACATAAAATGTATGTGATTATGTATTATACATGTGATTTATTCAGAATTAATTGACTAATGTCCCATTCACACCTAAAGTACAGTTAAAACTGTTCTAAATGTAGTGAAATAATACCAGACTTCACACCATTACTGTAAGAATAATAAATTCTTTGCAATCACTTTCATAGCGGTTTTCTCTTTATCTAATGAACAATAAAACACAGACAGACAATTAAAGTCCAGCCTGATTTAAAGTGTGGAATCAGATTAATCAGATGCGACAAAAAGAACCAGTGCAAGGATGAAATATGTTAGAAAAAGATGTTTACTGTTTATTTAACAGGCACTCTTGTACAAAGAAATTTCAATACCAGTCTCGGGGATCTTAAAAACCACACACTGTGATTACAGGAGCTCTGATTAAGGCATAGACAACTGACCCTGGATCAGGTCATAATGGGGAAAAAAAAAAAAACATCAAGTCCTTCTTCCAGGTTTTATTTCCCCTGTTGATTTAAAAACAAGTGACAGACGTCCTGAACTCTCCAGGATCTCCAGAGGTTTTGTTGGTCTAATACATGATGTTAAAAGTGCAACATTTAAAGTAACCAAAGAGAGGAATAGCAGATAATGATCTGGCTTGTCATTGGCTGCGCAGCTGTGCGCTCAAATCCTGGATTTCTGTGATGAGCTGCTCCAGTTCGATGACATCATCTCTGAGGTCATCGTGGAGCTCACCTGTGGCCACGTCAGTGTACAGTTGCTGCGACATAACAAATGAGAAAAAGACACCACAAAACTAAACTTTATAATGCATATTAAAAGCACATGAACTCTAAAATGACAATTTGCATGTTAATTAAACATCCCCCTAGTCTAACTGTGATTCCATTTGTAAAGTTATTCTCCATAAAAGACGCCTGTAATGTTTCATCCAAATGTCATGTTTTATTGTTTTTACATTTTTTTTTTCCATGTAATTTAACACTATTTCAAACACTTATTGAGGTCCAGTAAATTTCTCATGTTCGCTACCAAAAAGTTCAGGGTCAGTAAGAATTTTTGTCTGTTTTGAAAGTTTTCGTTTATTATTATCAACAAGACATCACTTGTTTAATTGATATATACACTCACCAGCCAATTTATTAATCTGAAGCTTTATTTAATCTGAAGCAACTGCGTGATGCTTTCAAATCCATATGGACCAAAATCTCTGAGGATTAGCTCCAATAGCTTCTTGAATCTCTGCCAAGAAAGATTAAGGCAGTTTTAAAGGCAAAATGGGTCCAAACCTAGTACTAGTAAGGTGCACCTAATGAAGTGGCCGGTGAAAGTATATTGTAATTGTGAAATTATTTAAAACAGAATATAAATATAACATTCAACTCAAACTTATACTGTACCTAATAAATGTAGTAATTCCAGAGAAACAATGGTATTTGTTTACCCTAACTGTGTACATCTTTAGATCAATTTAATTTGTGTCAGGTCACACTTAATTTAAATGTACAGTTCACGCTATAACAAAGCATTAACTAAGACTTTGGGCTGAATAAACTATTAATTAGATGCTTTTTAATAGTAAGTATTGTACCAGTTGGGTTTAGGTATTAAGTAGAATTAGGAATGTAAAATAAGATAATCTTTTATAAAAGCTAATAATCTGTTATTACCTTAATAATACGCAGATAATAAGCCAGTAGTTTTATCATTATCATCTTATCAAAGTCTTACCATCATACATTCACTTTCACACCTAAATCCAATGACCTAATTTCCTGTTAAACATCCAGTTTCATTTTGAATTGTCACTTTTTGAAAGTAAAACCATTTGTTGTTTCACTTTGGCCTATACTGTATGTGCACTAATGTAGCATTAACTAACTAGGAGCTGCAAAAAATTAGCAACTTTCACAAAACAATTAAACAGGTATGTAAAAAAATCTCATTTTAAAAAAGCAGAAGAGGGGCGAGGCAGTGGCGCAGTAGGTAGTGCTGTCGCCTCACAGCAAAAAGGCCGCTGGTTCGAACCTCGGCCCAGTTGGTGTTTCTGTGTGGAGTTTGCATGTTCTCCCTGCCTTCGCTCTGATTTCCCCCACAGTCCAAAGACATGCTGTACAGGTGAATTGGGTAGGCTAAATTGTCCGTATGAGTGTGTGTGTGTGTGTGTGGATATTTCCCAGAGATGGGTTAAGGCTGGAAGGGCATCCGCTGCGTAAAAATTTGCGATAATTTGGTGGTTCATTCCGCTGTGGCAACCCCGGATTAATAAAGTGACCAAGCCGACAAGTAAATGAATGAATGAAAAAGCAGAAGCCTGTAATAGGAGAAAGAGTGTGTGCGTGTGTTTGACTTACTCTGGCTTTGGTGGTCAGACTCTTCAGACTGAGTCGAGCTGAAGACAGCAGCTGCAGAGCCTCTTGAGGACTGCGTTTCGACCTGCTGCAGCTGATGGACACTGAGTGAGGGGCGCACACAAACACACACACACACACACACATACAGTTGGAGGAATTACTCAAAAACTTCATCTCTTAGACTGTACAGCCAATGAGGGGAAAGAATGAGCATGTCTAGCAGTCAAAGGTCACATGACTGGATCTGTGGACTAATAGTGTATTGCGATTCAGAGTGTGTATGTGTATAGAATTGTTGACTTTACATGATGGATAACGACCTCTGAGCAGCTCATGTTTAATCAGTGAAGTCATTAGTGCAACATCCAACAGCATTAAAACAGTCATTTAACACACATGTGCGCGCACGTGCACGCACACACACACACAGACACAGACACAGACAGGATCACAACACCTGCCTCCTTTTGTTCACCACGAAACTCATAATTATAACCATTTCTAGCACAATATGATCATCAAATAGAGTTAACAGTTCTAAAACAGTAAAACTTATTGCAACTATTTTTCATACTGCTTCCCCAAAATAAATCAGTGTTGATTTTGAAGTGCATTCATTTCCTTTTCTACATTTCAACATTGTTTCCATCTTGAGATCTTTGGTTCTTTTCTCTTTCCTCCCTTTTTTCGTGTTGTTATTTTCTTTTTAAAACCTCGGTTCATTCTTCCTTAATTCCATTGTATTCATCCATTCCCTGATTCCCTTGACAGTTCATGCTTTCCTCATTTATTCTTGATTGTTCATAAATTCTCTTCTTTCATTAATCTCAAAATTTCTTGAGAATTTCTTTTAAATGTCTTACTAAATTGTCCACCTTCTCATCTCTTTCTAAATTCTCTCTTTTACAAATTTACTTTTCTTAATAAATACTTTCTTCTAAATATTTTTTTTCTTTCCATTTCTGTCTCATGTCATTTTTCGTTCTGTCCTTCCTGCTTTTTTCTAAATTAGTTTACTGCAAAAAACGCTTTTTGGCAAAATAATTTGCCAATGGTGTGAGCAAAATAATCTAGTTTAGCTTTGAAATAAGATTATTTTGCTAACCCGATTGGCAGATTATTTAGCTTGTTTTAAGGAAAAACCTACTTAATTTTTACACTCTGAATCAATGACTGCTCCAGCAGATACTAATCCATCTGATTTTCATCTGTATATACTGGTAGATAAGGTGGTAGATTGTATCATATATTCATAAATTCTTCCCGATAAACATTTGGGTGGATTTCCCTTTTTTTAAACTGAGACAGGTGCATTATAATAGGTGGCTTTTTTAATATACCAAGGTGGTATAGGGCACACATGCATCATTGTTATTATATCCATATTAATATCCAACTTCTCCAAGTGAGTTGTCATTTCACTTTCGGAAAGATCTAATGTATCAGAGTCTGGCTTTGTAAAGGTGCCGATGTTGAGGGTGGAAAACTGTAGAATAGGCTGGGATGTCTTTGTTAACTTTCAGCTTGACTGCATAGTTGAGAGCCAATGTCAATCTTCTGTTGTAAAGTAACATTTCTCCTTCTGCCGTACAGTATATAAACTTTGAATTGGAGAAGTCCTGTATGTTTCAAAAGCAAGTCTCACTCCTGTATGATGTACTGTATCAAGCATCTTTATGTATGATACCCTTGCAGATCCATAAACTATGCGTCCATAGTCCATTTTTTATCTAATAAGTGTCCTGTAAAGTCTTAAGAGTATCACCCAATCTGCACCCAATTTAATCTTTGCTAAAACTTTTATAAAACCCATTGCTTTAAAAAATCCATTTAGTAATATTTTAATATGATAAGCAAAAGACAGCTTATTGTCAAAACTATTCCTAGGAACTTTACCTCTTTTACAACATGTATAGGTTCTCTATCTAAAAAAGGCTCTGGATCTAAATGCATATATCTCAAACGACAAATGCATGCATACAGTTTCTAATAACATGTCAATATATTTTTAATTGCCAGGAAAAAGCTGCTTTATTTAAGAATTTTTAGATATTTGCACTTCAAACAAAAGAAAACTCTAAGCAAGACAAGCATTTGTTGCAGCGTTTTCTGCAAATTGTCTATCTTTTTTTGTTTCTAAATGGTCTTACATTTACATTCTTTTCTTCTAATTACTTTATTCATTTTTCACTAAGTTATTTTTCTATCTAAAACCTTTTTATTTGTCTCTAAACCATCCCCTTTTTAAAAGCCCATTGTTTGTTAATTCTCTTTGTTCTAAATTATTTTGTGATTATCTCTCCCGAAATCCCATTTTCTGTCCAGCTATCCTCTCTCTTTCTCTCCTCATGCTGCTGCCTGAAGCAGCGACAGCAGGGAAAGTGGTGTGATTAATCAGTGCAGAGCTCATTCACAACACACACATGCACATATAGCTTTACTGCACACCAACACATGAATACAAACAAGACCTAGACAAATGCACAAGGCAACACACAAACCAGTGAGGAAACCATTCTCTTATGTATGCTCACACACACCCCTTTCTCTTATAGTGATCGATTCTCCAAATCACACACACGCACACACTGAATGCAGGCCAGAGTAAGAGGGAAGGGACGGAGGCGTGTGAAGGGTTCTGCTACATTTGCTGAGCCGCCCCCTTTATAAATCATTAAGATCAACAACAAACAGCCTGCAAACTCAAGGACAACACACTGTGTGAGAGATGATCCTAATCGCTTTGACAAGCTTGTCCATGTTCAATGCCAACTCAGAATAAAATGATGTGACAGTTGGATTTTTAAGGCCAGACACTGCAGGATAAAATATAGTGTTATCATGCACTCGTCAGTTTGGGGATTTTAGCCATTTGGGCTTTTCATAAAGTTTTGTTATTTTGTTCAGTCTAAATGGAAATGGGAAACATATTTTGTCGGTTTCTTTTGTCACACTTTATTAATTTGTGTCTGTAGATTTTTATTAAATACATGTTTTTAAAGGGGCGGTCCACTGCGATATCATATATTAAACTTTAGCTGATGTGTAATGTAGCTGTGTAAACATAACCAACATCTCTGAATGTAATACGCTCAAGGTTCAATGCAAAGGGAGATAGGCTTTTACAGAGTTAGCTTAGCAAAGCCTACAGTGAATGAAATTTGGGGACTACAAAAAAAAAAAACATATCCTGGTTAGTGAGATCACAAAATCTTCAGGTTACGCGCATTCATCATGCGCATACACCCCGTGCAGCGAAAGGGCGTGGCCGGAGGCACTGTAATGCTAAAGCAGACAAAGCTAAAATGCTGCCCAAATGCTGCTATTTCCACAGAGCTTCTTCTGTTTCTGTATTTGGGCTTCCAGAGGATACAACATAAAGAGAGAAGCGCTTACAGTTTAATTTTAATAATGTTCCAGAGAATTGTAAAAGGCAAAGGACAGCTTCCAGAATCTCTCTGTTTAGTGCTTGAATCTGCTAAGAACTCCTCAAAGAAGGAGCAGCTCCAACCATAACAGAAGAAGCTGTGAATTGTGAGTCATAACCTGTAAGTATTTTTATTGGTTTAAAATTGATCTATTACATGCACAGTTTATAGTGTTCATGGTACTGTACTTAAGGACAAAAACAAGGATGTAAACAACGGAAAATGCTGTTTGGCACGTTAATAATTTAGCTCCAAATATTTATCCGTCAAATTGATTTTAAACAACCAAAATCTTCACCAGCGCTGCACTTTTTCTCTATGTGTCCGCTTTCCCTGCGTACTGTATCTTAAATAACAAACTCGCAAAAGACAGGTGAACGTTTCATATTACTTACACATGCTTATTCCAAATATATGTGAAAGACACTTGTCAGATTATATTTTAGAGAGCAGGCGTGAGGTTTAGCCGTGTCCTCCTCATTTTCCATCTGATTCAGGCTTCCATCTGATTCATTGTCTTCAGAAACATTTTTGTTGTGCTGGTTGAAAGTCTCTTTACAGTCCAATAGTGAAGTAAGGCGTACAGTAATGATTAAACTATTAAAAGGCATAAAATTAAAAAATGTTCATTCAATTAAATATTGTTGGGCCCGACATCCCCCATAATTCCGATAAGTAGCTCAAACGGTCTGTCAGCAAATGTAGATTAGGACTTCTGCACATCTATGTTCATGCAGATCCGCCATTCGCGCATGCGTGCCTGCATGAGTGCCGCGTGTTCACAAAACAATCACAGACGCGGTAAAATGAAATGCTGAATTGAAACTTTTAAAAACCTGAATCAGTATTGGAGTTACTTGAGCACGCTGGAGGAAGGACGACACCATAGCTGAAGTATTACTGTTAGACAGGTAATGTTCTGTTTTAAAACTATTTTAGTCAGGCTAAGCTTATGTTAGATTGTGTTGTGTTATGAATGATTTATATGCATAGACGTGTTGTTCAGCCACTGAAATCTCCCAGCGAAAGATTGATGTGACTATTTTCAGTTTCATAAGGTCCTTTTACAGCATCGATAATGTAGATTTTTATTTAGTTTAACAACAAAACATCAGTAAATAGCGATATTCCGTCTAACCTACTTTATTGAGCTGAAGTTGCTTTTATATTCACATTGGATCATTTTTTAACAATGACAGCCTTCCTATACTGTTGTTTACCATGCTACTCTGAATATTCACTCTGAAATAGCATAAGTATGGCTTAGTAATAAATGTAATTCCTGCATGCCGCCAGCCAAACACTAACTAACTGGCGAATGACATGAACTAGTGGGTTGTCTGCTGTTGTGATGCAGTGCGCGCGTTTGGGATTTCAGGAGGCGTGGCTTTGAATCAAAGTCCCTCCCCGCTGTCCAAAAGTAATATGCTAAGCGGTTAGCATTTTGGCAGATCACCTACTGCACCTTTAACTCATTTATGTTCATAAATAGATAGACAATTTATTTTTATAGTTTAAAACATTATTCAAAACCTTTGATTAATACATCAAAAATAGAATTACGAAGTTTTGTGCCAGAAATCATGCAAATAAGTTTATGTTTACTAAAACACTTCATTTGCATATTTTAACAACATTTAATAAAACTACCAATGCAAAAATATTTGTAAATCCTAATGTAATAAATCAAAACAGGCAGTTTAGTAATTACTACGCTTTTTATAATGTTTTTCTCTTATTTCGCTCTAGGAATACTTTCACTATACAAGATTTTTTCATATCTGATTTCTGAATGTTTTACAGAGCAATATGTTCCTAACTAATTTTCTTTATATTTTTATGTTTTTTGTTTGGCTGTTCTCAGTATTTTCTGAATTAAGGAGGAAGAAAGAGACATAAATACAACATAAAACCTTTAACTACTAGAATTCTGAACCTGACTTCCTTTAGTGTTCATATTATTGTGCTACAAAGTGTATGCAAATGAGTCCATATTTAATAAAACAATAAATAATGCAAATAATCATTTGCATATTTAAACATAACATTTCAGAAAGCTAGCAATACAAAAACATTTGCCTTTCTTAATATAATCAAATCAACTGAGGAGATATGATAATTTTTTTCATGCTATTGAGCAGCAGTGCGCCACAGAGAGTCATGCGTTTAGAAACAAAGAAAGAATTACTATTCAACCCAAAACCTGCACTCTGTCTCAACTGATGTTTAATTCAACACACACTCACTGACCAAACCCTCAACATCCCTCTTAATGAGACACGCACACACAGATGGACGGACAAAGCAAACCCATCTGGTAAACACACACACAAACACACACACACGTCTGTGCCTGCTGGAGGTCACAGGGGTAAAAGGCTTGTTTGTCGTTCTTGCTCCGGCTCCGTGTTCTCAATCCATCAGGCCTTTCAGAGGAGCGCAACGCTCATGCGCTGCCACATTAGCCATGATAGAGTGACTCTCTGAATGAGCGCACCACCACGATCCTCTGTGTCCCTCTCAAATGGCCTTGTTAAAAAGAAAGGGAAAGTGTGGTGTGTGTTTGCTTGAAATCTCACCATTAGCCATGTCTCTGGCACCTTTCACCACAGATTTGAAGCTGCCTGTGTCTTTCTCCCATCCAGCCGCCTGCGTTTCACATCGATGAGCTTTACTCAGAAACTGCAGCGCCTATAAATATAACACATAAAACACTTAGAGCTATCCAGATGAAAGGTGATCAAGCAACAACAAATTAAAGCTCTCTCTTTTACGTACACTTTAAAAAATGCTGGCTTCCAGACTATTCCTTCATGTTGTCCCAACACAAATAGATTAAGTTAACTTAATTGTTTTTACAAATTTAAGTAAATTGAGCATAAAATAATCAAGTTGACCACAAAAAAAAAACAAGATGTCCTTGCTGCTGTCTGTATCACGATGACGTGCTGGACCAGATCCAATACGTAGTAGACATTGTATCACCCATTAAAGCCTGGTTCATACTCGACATGTCCGCTAGTTTGCTTGAGTGTGAGCGGCGAATGTGACATCATCGATGTGTTTGCGGAGGTTCGCTTTGGGTGCTCATGACATGATGTTGACTGGCGGAACGCACATTGCTTTTTGAGACTCAAGCGAACAGTTCGCGCAGCGCAGCATTTGATTTGAAAATAAATATGAAACATTTTGAAGAGATTTTGTCTGAAATGGATATGACTGTACAGACATCTTTATGATCTGACCATGCATGATCATAGGGATAATCAGATGACCAATTATTCTTGGCTAGAAATTGCAACAGCAATGGGAAAAGAAGAAAGCTTTTGTTAAAAGGCTTGGAAAAACCTGAGGGATAAGTTTGTTAATGCCAAAAGAGACCATGGCAAAAGTGGAGACCCAGGTACACAATTATACCGAATATGTTTTTCCACCATTTATAGGTTTTACACTGATGTATATGTTCCTATTTTTGAATTTAAAACAATTTAATAGTTACAAAACTATAATTAAGGAACAAATTATTTCTTTGATAACTGGAAAGGAATATTTAAACCTGTCAGTTTACAATATACTGATGCCCTGTTTTTCTAGGCTTTATTGGTGATAATGGTCAGGAATGTTGGACCATTATTCTCTTTTTAGCATAAGTAAAGGACAGAAACTAGCCAGACAGTAATGTGTGAATTCTGGAATGGGCTAAATAAAAAACAAAAAACAAAACAAAACAAAAAAACGCATCTGTATTTTCTATTAATTAATAATATTAAAAGTATTAATAATAAAAAAAAGAAACTGACCTTTTCATTGTCTTCTGCATTGTTGCTATGTCCATCGCCATAAAGACGGGCGTACTGTTTCCATATCTGTGCGTCTGTGCTGCAGCGGGACGACACTCTGCCCAAGAGCTCCTGGAGTTTGGGTCTGAGAATGGAGGCCTGTTCGCCCCGGTGATCGGTCAGATTATCCACTACTGCTTGCACCAGGATTTCCAGAACCTGATGACAAACACAAAAACACAACAGTTGTTTAAATTTTATGGCCCTGTTTACACTGCCAGTTAAATGTGACCCAATTCCGATTTTTTTTTCATATACGACACAGATCGGATCTGTTCTTTGGCCATGTAAACACAAAAAAAAAATGTATGCATTCGGATATTCAGAGATCGGTTTCAGGCCTCCTTCATATGTGGAAATAAATCAGAAATAAACAGGATATGTGACAATCTGACAGTCATGTAAACAAGCAAATCGGATTTATTGAGGCATTCCCTTTTATACGTTATTAAACTTGCGACAATGTGGTGCTTCTCCACAGTTGTATGACATAGAAGAAAGAGCGTGTGAGGAGACACAATGGTAAACTAATCAAACTAATGAAACTAATCAAAAACATGGTAAACAATAAAAACAGAGGAAACATGGAGGAGGAAAGAAGTCAGTTGCCACAATTTGCTCCCACCAGACCTGAGATCTCTCTCGTACCCACAAATTCCTCTAAATGGTGGAGGACACCATATATAAACCATAGGTGCAAGCTCCAATGACTGCCCTTTCCCACCTCCTCCGCCTCAAAATCATTTTGGGCGAACTGTGTTGTAACTTTTGCTTTTTGACGCTATTATTACACGCACTGCGAGCTACACATAGAACAACTTTATTCTCCCTAACACCAGTGGGCAAACAAGAAGAGGCTACATCTTCAACTACACACACACATCAGAGCTATACCAGTACATAAACTGTGTGGTGGTTAATCTGGACTGAACCATTCACTGCTTATACAGTACTACACTTCGCATATTTCGCAGAGCTAAAATCTAAACAATTTCTTCCGTCGTGGCTAGTATGGCACAGATGCTAGAAACCGCCTTTATGTATGCGTGACATCGTAAATCATGCGTGGCATCAAGACTTGACAGTGTAAACGGGGCCAAAGAGTATTTAATCTGAAAACTCACCCAGGATTAGCATTTAGCTTAAGTCTGATCCCAATGAGGTCAACAAGGTCAAAACACTCATCTCTGAACTTGACCTCTGCTTTTTTGGATGTTCATGGCTTGTGCAATGCTCAGCATATATGAGTACAGCCCTCACAAATCTATCTTTTAAATTCATTTTTTTAATAAAGCGTTACAATATTATATTTGTGCAAATACATTAGATCAGTCAATACTGAAGCCAAAACTGAAGCTTATCGAAAAAAATAACTTACCATAACTGTCCAAAAACGAGTACACCCAAATTTATGTTATAGAAAAGTATTAAATACAAATTTAAAAAAGAAAAAAAAAATCAAGAGAGGCAAGAAAATATGTTCTTTTTATTTGACAACAAACCAAAAGTACCTAGAGTTCAGCTAAGAGTTTCTGAAACTTATAATTTACTTAATCCCTGGCCTCATTTCAGGCAAAAAAAAATTAAAAAATTTTAAAAATGACCTGACAGACTATGACTGTCGTCTAGTTTGAACTGGCAAACTGGAACAGCATTCTAAGGAAATTACGAAGCTAAAAAAAACAAAAAAAAAAACAATAGATCCCAACACAGGACGATAAAATTGAACAAATGAACATAAAACAATCTTAAATGACTACACTAAAGTCAAATAAAATACAACTAAATGAAAGACAATACAATTAAAATACGCACAAAAAACAAGAAAATAAACAAAAAAAAAATTTATATTATAAAATAAGTGATGAAACTATAGTATGTTTCTATTGAATTCCGATATATAAATGAGGAAATTCAATACAATACAATTTATTTAAACAAATAAAATAAAACAAACAAAAAAAATGACCTACAAAAACAGAGGTGTCAAACAGGAGTCCTGGAGGGCCACAGTCCTGCACAGTTTAGTTCCAACCCTGCTCCAACACACTTATCAGTAGGTTTCAAACAAGCCTGAAGGACGTAATTAGTTTGATCAGGTGTGTTTAATTAGGGTTGGAACTAAACTGTGCAGTGCTGCGGCCCTCCAGAAACTTAAAAGTTAAACACCCGTGACCTAAAATAACTACCATAAAATCAAATGAAAAGGTATGACTAAACAAAATACAATACAGTGAAACACTGATAAAGTAATATATATATATATATATATAGTTACATTCTATGAATAAAAACTACAATAAATTTAAATAAAATTTGATGAAATAAAACAGGTCGTTATATAAATACAATAAAATGTCAACAAAGCACAACAAAAGAGAGTCTTCTCTCCATCTGTCTTCTCTCTAAATAGCAATTAGAGACTAAATGGAGAAGGCATTTCTGTATATCAGATTAAAACACTAACTCAGACCACCTGATACAGATGGCTTATGAAGCCTTTAGTGAGAAGTGACTAGTCAGAAGTGTCTAATTCCCTGGAGAAAAGGGGTGTGTGTGTGTGTGTATGTGTGTGTGTGTGTGTTTGTCAGACACAGAGAAGGCTTTTTCCAAAATCTAAACGAAGCAAACCACACCCTTAAACTTCACTAAACTACCAGAATACTTGACCTGAATGCTGGGCTCCACATTCCTCAGTGTGTGAGCTATTAATCACAGCTTTCACACCGAGCTTCACATGTGTTTGTGTGCCTGTAACTAACAAGCTCCAAACTGCACTGTAATTACTAAAGCAGAACCAGAATTTGTGGCCATTAACTCTGTGTGTATGTGTGTGTCTGTGTGTGTGTGTGTGTGTGTGTGTGTGTGTGTGTGTGTGTGTGTGTGTGTGTGTGTGTGTGTGTGTGTGTGTGTGTAGGAAAGGGTGATTTTGCTTATGCAAGGTTTTGTCTAGTTCTATCAAGTAATAAAACTTTGTCCTTTCACAAATCACAGGATATCAGTATATTTTTGTAAACCTTCTGTATAGACTCACTGAGGACAAAAATATAAAAATATATGATCACTGACAGGTTTCTTTACTCATATCAGTACTGATTATCAATGCAGATTCAGTTTTAATGATTTAACCCCTCTGAATGAGTTTAATTAAAGGTTTTTTATTATTATTGAAGCTTTTGTTATTATTATTGCATTTGTATTAAATTTGCTTATTTATTTTTTAATGTAATATTGGAAAAAATTTTTAATGCTTTAAAATGAATGTTGTTCCTCATCATTGACTTATCCAGGGCAGTAATAATCAAAGCAATCTGATTAGACTTAGTATATTTAACATAATAATCAAAATTTATTTTGTGTTTTTCTAAAAAATAAATTAAAAAATCTACAAAATTTGTAATTGTAAAAAAAAGTATGAAAAAAAATTCATAGCTTATTGGCAGTGATGATCACAACTGATGCTGCTAAACATTTGTTGGTGAAAGTGCAACAAATTAGTTCAAATTAAAAGGCAAACTTACTGTTTTTGAGAAAATGTGGACGCCCTTTAAATAGATCTTATTTCCAATTCAGATTTCAGCAAATTATTAAATGAAACAGGAAACGACAAAAAAAAAAAAAAACTGACATTGATTTAACCTTTATGTTTGTGTTGCATTCATAAAAAAATGTTTTGTTTCCATTTCCCCATGATAAGAGCACATCTTGTGTGTGGACCCACGTGTGTGGATTACAGTGGTTTGCTAACATGCCACAAAAATATGATTGTAAGAAATTTTTTTTACCCGAACTTTTCAAATCTGGAAATGGTAAAATCTGAATTTGCCACTCATCTTCTTTAAAAAAAAAAAAAAGAGTTGATGTTGATTGTCCTGTCTCTACAGATTTGAAAAGTGTGTGATAGGGATGGGAAGATTAACCGATATGTATCGATCCGCGGTTATGCGCGTGCACGATGCGAGTGCATCGGTAGAGCAGCAAAGGATGAATGAAATTTTGGAAGCAAATCGAGATGCATCGGTTTTTGCGAGATGCATCGATTTTTCCGAGATACAGCTTATATTTTTAATATAGAATGTATTTTTTATTTATTAACAAGTGTTGTCAACCTGTTTTTGGCGCATAATTTAATCGACCTACATAAAGTATGCCTTAGCAACGGACTTGCAGATGTGTACACTTACACTACAACTCAGTGTATCAGCTGTGCGGATGAAGCTAGTGGTGCGCCCTCAGAAAGCGCGAGAAGCAAAACAAACATTTTATTCCCCACTGAGTTCTAAATCTAAAGTATGGCAACATTATGGATTTAAGGATGGACGACTTGACAGGACAGATGCAATTTGCAAAATGTGCCGTGCATCTGTAAAATACGCAGGCAGTACGACTAATCTGAAATCTCACTTGAAGCGGCGCCATGGTGTTATTGTGGAAGCATCTTCCAGTGTTCCTGCATCCCCAACTTTCGCACTGCTTCAACTGTAGCTACCAGCTCCAAAAGTGGTGAGAAAAGCATTGCAAGTTTTTTTCCATGCGCAACAGTTTTGTGCGCTCTACGCCAATAACGAATGCTATTGCATTGTTCATCTGCAAAGATATTCAGCCTAGTGTCAACCTAGTGTCAACCTCCTCCTGTTAATTTGTATTTTTTTTTTTTTTTATTAGCCTGTTGTTTACAGTGACAGTGATGTTTTGTATATTTGTATATAAGTTTTGAATATTCAGTGGCAAAATATCTTTATAAAACTTGTTTTCATAGTTGAAAATTTAGATCACAACTCTTGTTGTGCAATCGTAAACCTTTATGTTGAAAGAGTGCAAATATATATAGATTTTTAATATATATTGCACTTATACATTCTGTTTATCTTGAAAATACTTAAATAATATGTGCTATGTGTTCTAAAATGGTCCTCTACTGTAAACTGACACTCTGGCTCTAAGAGAAGAGCCAGTTTGTTAAAAAAAAGTCTTGGTTTTTCGGGGTAATAAATAATCAAACTCATTCAATGGCACAGCATCCTCTTTCACATAATCTCATAAACTTGATCTAATAAGTTAGTGCTGAATTATCGCATTGTATCGTGATATGGGTGTGAATCGTATCGTGTTGCATCGCAATATGTCACAAATGTATCGCTAATATATCGGATCGTATT